TGTTTTGTTTTGCCTAAAATGTCAAAGTGTACAAAGTGGGGGCTAACCTTTTGCGTCGGTGCGAAACATGTGTTTTCATTTTCTCCATTACTAATTACATTTTCACTACAGTCTATTGTATTTTGATTACTGAGACCAAGACGATTCGTTTGCCACCATTTGCACAATAAAGCTCGCAAAACTCGATGTGTTATGATGTTTTAAAGGGGTTGAGCTAACCTTTTGCGTCGGGCTGTATGCAAACAACAGCGTACATCAAAACAAATAACAGCTAGTATTTTTGTTAACACCGTCGAACATCTCTGCAAGCGGCCGCGAACATCTCAACAGAGACAGTAAGAATTTCTGCGCACAAAAACTAATATTAAACAAAACAGCAAACGTCTTTGTAAACAATACCGAGTATATCTCAATAATACCGAGGGCAGGGTGGCCCAGTGGTAACAGTTCAGAGTACCAGGATTGGCGCAGAGAGGCGCGGGTTCGATCCCAGCTCTGTGCGCCAGTTTCTGGTCAGAATCGGCGAGGAGGCCAAGCGGTTAAGCAAAGCAGAATTGTAACAGTGAGTTGCGTGTTCGATACCGCAAAATGCAGTGAATGTTCTGCCATGTTAAGAATCGGCGACAGGCCTACGGCCTAATAAACGCTGAAACCGCTATTATTATTATTATTATCTAACGTAAAACAACAACGGCTATCTCAATGAAATTGAGTACATATTCAAGCAGTAAACATCTCTGCAAACAACAGAGGACATCTCGACAAAATATATATATTTCGACAAATACCAGCCAAAATTCTTACAAACGACGAACATTTCCATAAACAATAGTTAACTAACTTTTTGACATCGAACAGCGTACGAAATAACACCGATCATCTCAACAAACAACAGCGAACATTATTGATCTATTTTGCCAGCATACTGACAGACGTGTTAATCCAACAGTGGTCGCGTGGATTACATTTATCCACATATACAGTTAGGCGAGTACATATGTAAACCACGCCTACGAAAATAAATCGTAACGAAACCGAACGAAAAGGTGAGCAATTTGGTAGTATTTTGTAAGCGACCACTACACTACAGGGTTAAATGAGAGTTAAATTTCCTTTTTAATTTAGTCAATGACACAAAGTTTTCTCCTCAATTTGTCGTCTAAAGAAAATGAAAATCTATGAGAGACTATAACTGAATCATTGAATGTAAATACTTCGATCAAACCTTTGACAAACAAAAAATTTTATTTGAAATTACAAATTCCAAAAAATGCACTACATACACAACTAAATATTAAATAAATGCGGATCGTCGAGGGATATGATATAAAAATTTCATCTTACGTTCTTACCCGCGAAACACTTTAGAATCAAACCCATAACGCCATAAGGAAAACAATTTTTGAAAGCAAAATGAATTGTATCAAACGGAACTGAGAACTTCAATTACTTGTGTTATTTTCAAGCGTCGTCTTTTAATTTTTTGGCAATTGTAAAAGCACTTTTAGAACATATAAATTCAGCCTATGACTTATGTTGTACCAAGCTTTAGGGCCTGGACTGGGACTTTACATTTTGCAAGTTGATAGAGCCTTAGAACCACCAATGCTCTCACTTGATTCATTTTTTTTTCTCCCTATAGCTCCTTTTTTTGCCCAAGCTGAGCAGCCACAGACTCCACAGAGATTTCTTAATCAAAGTATAGCAAACATCTGTAAGTAGGCGATGACCACAACATTTTTATCCAATGTGATGGTCGGAAACCCGGCACAAGCCTTTGCTGTTCCCAGGTGGGCAAAAAATTTACCCCGTATGGTAGCTGAAATCTTACATGTGGAACAGAAGTCAGCTCCTTGAGTAAAAGAAAGCGAGGAAAAAACGCTAACAAGGCGGACTGGCATACCTCTGAGAGAGTTAGCCAGTCAGGTTGTTTAATGAGATAATACTCAAGGTGATAATTATTTACATAATAATTAAGCTTTGAATCACCAAAATTTGCCGGTTACTTTAGAGATCGCAATCCATACACGCGTTTTCGCCGTGAACGTAACTGACTTTTTTCGCAGAAACGGATGAAAATTTAGACAACGTTCTTGGACCCCGCGCTTGCGGAAATTTCCGGTCAATGATGATAGCAATTTTTAACCTCCAATATTTCGAGAATGCACCAAATTTTTTACCGTGCATGAATGCCTAGATGCCGGCTAGTAATTGAGTTTATTTTCCTATTTGGCGACATGGCTAAAAGCTGAATAAGTTTGTTCACGAGCATACGTGTATGAACGTGCATAAAAACTGGAGTCTTTATAGGTTTCGGTTTAAAAATATTAATAAAACCCTTATAAAAATCTTAAACGTAGCAAACATATCATACACATCTATAATTTGTTACTCGACTCGTCCCATATAACTCAGATTTCATGTAATAAATCTCACGAAAAACTTTTCGGTGCAGTAAGCTGATTGACAAACATATCTGATTTTAAAATTTTTCGACCATTCAAAGTGAAAATATACTTTATTCAATACTTTGTTGAGCAAATTGGTTAAATATTTCAAATATGGTGAAGCGTGAAATATGTACTATGGACTGTAAAAGTTCGCTTCAAAATGATACTTGTAATCGTGAAATTTATTTCCAACTTTAAATTTCAGGTCGATGTTTAATTCCGCACTCGATAATCGCAAAACATATCGTCACAATAAGATTTTATTTTTATTTTGTACTATATAAAATCAGCATTTGATATATTCTAAACATTGAGTTAGTATTCCTGCTATACTTCGGGTTCAATCAAATCAGGAAGGCGTTGCCAGGGTGCATGAGGGCGAGCCACAGCTTCTCATACCAAATAACTATTTTCAGTAATTGGCGGCCTGAACAACAACCGTAGTGGCGGCCAGGGGCCATGCTATCAAACTCGCCATGTGAAATTAAGTACTTATACGCTCTATTTTCTTGTCTGTGATTGACGGATTTTGCTTGAAAGGCCGTCAATGATTGGCTGATGAACTTACGATCTCTTAACTTTTTTTGAAAGTATAGGCCCTGAACGACATTTACTACCGCCATTTACCGTACTATTAGCCTTGCATACAGGCGGTGCTGGGAAAGAATCAACTAACCTTCTACACAGGGACAGTATAATTAGTCGCAGTAAGCATTTGACAGTTGTAATGGACGATACCAGTGTCCTCGTGTAAAAACATGCACATACAATTTATTATGCTTGACTCGCATCAGGTATTTATACTGAATCAAGAAAAAATATATATGAGATCCTGCCGGGGGTTATGACGGAAATCTGTTACCTTTTTCATTCAGCAGAGTGGCATGTCGACATTTGGCTGGCGTCACAATAATCCTGGAATTTGGTCTGAAATAGACTTCATGCTATATGAAAATCGATCAATGCGCCAGTCGTTGTAGATTCAAACTATTTCTCGTGCCTTGACTTGTAGAATAACGTGTCATTGAACTTAAATGCAATTGTAACTTTTTAACCGATAGTTCTTCGTCGATGTCGTGCACTCGCTATGCCACACACGTGGCGGAAGTCTAGAAAATGGACTATATAGGCTGGGATTAAGCCAGGTTATATATTTACACTATGATCGCTTGTAAACAGAACGGATCGTAGTATTAATTTGAAGCCAATAATCTATTTATACCAATAGTGAATCCGCAATTTCTGAAAGTACATCTTTACACACGATCATTCTGATGATGTACATCTTTACTTGCGATGCTACTTCCCGGATGAAGTCATGAAAATAGAGTAAGAAATAGGGTATCATGGGTATGATTGAACCACAACGCAAACCATGAATCACAAATCTAGCCATGTCGATACTTAATCAAGAGTGAACCAAGTACAGTAAAGTCTTAAAGAAACGTTCGATTGACCACTGATTGAATTCGCTTTTATGGGGCGATTAGAAATGATGCATGAGTAATAGGGAGCTTCATTAAAAAATTATCACAGTCAATGTGAATGAATTCAACAACATTGAATGTGACGCAGCATTGTGGCAGCTTCAGATAAAATGGGACGAGTCATGGCCTTTCTAAACATGCAGACTGCCCCTCATTAAATTCGTAATTACGACATCACTATATCACTATAACAAATTTGAACCAATTTAGTTGGACAATAAAATAATTGTCCCATAATTGTTTTAGTTGAACATTGCCGGAACGTGCAATTTATTGTCGCTTTGATTATCTGAAATCAGTTTGAAAATCAAATAAAAGAACATAAAAGTACTAGAATTGATAAAAGTGTGGTCCTTTGAAAGATTGGATAGTTATTCCAAACCACGTATATTCTATTATTATAAATTTTTGGTACTGCGGGAGCGAGTTTTTAAATTAACGTCAAAATTTACGGCAACTAGGTTAATGTTAAACTCTTGAACAGTCCAAATTTCAAACCAAGAACACGTGTGTTTTTAGCTTGCGTGCTGCTATATAGGTTGCCGCTCCAATAAAGATTCTACAGTATAAATCGATCATTACACCTAGACTTTTATGAGACGACCAAGTTGACTAATTGCGCCACACGAAGCTGGCCTTTCAGAAGACTCCATCCTGAGCCACGGCGAGGTTGTGGCGACGAGAGAGCTTCCTGTTAAGCAAGAGTGCCTACGTACGTGTTCACCACTGAAAATAAAAATATAACTCAGTACTCACAGCAGTGAGTGACAGAGACCGCATTTTCTCGTCGACGAAAACCTGAGGTCACGGACAGACGGACGGACAGACAGACAGACGGACATGGCGAGCACAATAGTGCATTTTTTCCATAAATGAGAAAATGCGCTAAAAATATTGCCGTTGATCAGAAACTCTTTTTTAATTGTCTTGTCGCTTGCCCTCACTGCAAGTTGACTGGAACTGAAATGTTTATCAATAGTACGAATTTTTCGATAAACTAACTAGCATTTGATGCGTCTACATAAATTCTTTTACCTCACGACTATAAAATTCGGTCCTAGCATACGTTTTTATCTGTCATCGCGAGTAAAAACATCTATTAAACGATGCAGCTACCAAAATATTTCATGAACAAGTTCCTGCTTTTAATAATCGTGCTGGACTGCGCCGCGAGTGCTAAAATGTCGGGACACTTCTACAAGGTGAGTGATGACCTATGCAAAGTGTTCAAATTTACCTTAATGTATAAATTTAATGTATAATCTAATGTATAAATTCTGCAAGTGTACTATACTGTAAGTCAAGAAAATGAATGTGTTTTGAGTGTGTAAAACAAATTTCGTAATTTCATAGATTTGGAAATGCACCATGATGGCTCTTGCAGATAGACAGGACCTCGCTTAGGTGTCTCTGCACTCATTACAAGTTTGAACAAATTAACCTAATTTACGTTTATAAAATATTAAGTTAGTAGGAGAGCTGAGTAAGACGATAACTATGAATAATATCTTCCGATTGAGAATTCATCAACTGTGTGAGTGAAGAATTGATGACCTCGGTGGTATGGGCATTTTAATGGAATTCAATCAAGAGGCGTCCATCAAATTCAATCAAGCTCCAATAACATCCGATACCGTCATGGCCCTGTGAGCGCCAGTGCTGAGCATCACTCAGAGGAATGAGAGGGACTTTATTGGGGTTCCTCTTCTTTCAAGTACTATAACGCCAAATGAGCTTATAAAGTTTTTAGAGTTCCTCCTGTTCACAGTACGAACGCTAAATGTGCTTCAAAATTTTTTACAGTTCATTTTCTTTGAAGTACTAAAACGCTTACTGTGAACCTGAAGTCATTAAAGTTCTTCTTTTTTAAAGTACCAACATTAACTGTGCTTGTGAATTTTTTTCGAGGTCCTCGTCTTTAAAGTACTAACGCCAACTGTACTTATAAATTTTTTAAAGTTATCATAACATAGCGCAGCATCTTCGATCGACGTTGAAAAAAATAGGCATGCTTAGGCCGGTAGCCGATTTATGTACTTATCGTGACCTGTTCACAGATCTAAAAACTGGCCTTTTTATAAGGTACTTTCAACTGACGTTTGTTTACATTATCACTGGAACTATCTCCATAGGGTGCTAGAAATTTCAAGCCTGAACATATATTTCTCCATTACTTTATCTAATCTGTTCTTGAAGGCGTTCATACTCGGAGCGTCAACGATGCTATCAGGGAGGCTGTTCCACATGTCGCTGACTCGAAGCGAGAAGAAATGTTGTCGCATGGATGAGTTACAACGCTGTTTTTCAGTTAATAGCTGTGGCTCCTGGTGTTGGTTCTTGTTTCAAATTCTAGTAATCCTTCTGGGACCTGATATAAACCACGAGGTCGTAGTTTTAAAGTTTGCAGGTTCTATTTTATGTCAAATACTTTGGTAGTACAATGATTTATTTGTAAGCTCTAAATTATCGAGTGCAACGTGTTTTCGTAACTAGTTTACCGCCATGTAGCTCTTCATTCGGATTGATATGGATTTTCACGCAGACAAATGAATAAATCTGGTGACGATGAGAAAATCGAAGTCAACTTTCGGGGTGCTAGAAGATTTGAGTGAAAAAAGTGTGTAACTTGCATACCGAAAGTAATATTGTACTTATTATTGTATTATTTTGTAATTAGTTATTAAGTATTTTTTCGCCCCCATTCGTACCGTATTGAGCGAACATATCACGTTCCTGAGGCCACACATATTTCATGCATGGGCACATTCCATGTGCTGTGCGTGACACGGAACATGAACTCCACTGCAGAAGTTCTATTAAATGCAAGACTGAGGTGCTGGAAGAGCCTCCAAGTTAATAACAGAATCTAACATGCTCAGTAAGAAAAGATTTAAACATACATATAAAGAAAAGGTCTACACATACTTGTTAAGAAAATGTTTCAACATATTTGCCAAGAAAATATCGAGAGAAGAAATATATATATTAGAAAGGAGATGGTTGTGGCTTCGTTCGACTTCTAAATCGATTAGCTTCATAAATGCCGTGATTTTCAAGTGCCTCCCAAAATGTAAACCAAAACCTGTATGTTGGGTCAAGGGACTTTTGAAAGCTTTAATTTGGTCCGCTTATTAAATCGAGTGGCGCGCATGGTTCAAGAATGTATCCTGACACACTTTTCTCTTGATCATCAAATAAGATTTAAAGTTAGGTGCCGAAAGTAAATACATAATGAAAATTGAACACAAACGAAGGTTACGATTGGGGGTTATTTTCCTAAAATTTTGCATTCAATTTCGAATTATTAAAGATTTAATCGAAAAATAAATGAAAAAATAAATGAAAAATAAATGAAAAATAAATGAAAAAATATATATATATACATATATGTCAAAGTTTATTTTGTTAGAAGCCTGGCTTCGCAATATATAGGGGCTGTTGGGGCGCGTATCCAGGATACTTATCGTGTCGGGATATTGTATATAGGGGCTGTTGGGGCGCGTATCCAGGATACTTATGGAGCCGCAATATGTAGGGCGCATTTCCTGGATACTTATCGTGTCGGATATTGCCTGAACCTCAAATTTTCACGTAGTGGGAGAATAGTAAAACGTTTCAAAACTGGCAGGGAACGACTTGGCCGAAAACGGAAATTGTATTTTTGAAAAATAATTCAAAATTCATATTATGAATTATTTTTTCATATTATATTATTTCATATTATTGTTCATAATCCATATTTTGAAAAGAGTGTCAAATGGTAGTTAAATGTGCCTGTAAAATGTGAGTCTGAACGAGATTTATTTAATTTATTAATTAAAAACGTTAAAGGGAATTACGTAATTAATTTAATTCAATGCATAATTGGAATACATCAGTTATTTTTTTATTAACGAAATTCAGATAATTAGTTTCTGATATTGCAGGAATTATCGAGACCGAGCACGGCTGTTCTATCTTGCTAGTCATCTGTAAAACAATTAGCAATGTAAAAAAAATTCCGTTCAACAGGTTCAAGGGAATGTTGTAGACTACGGATGCTCCATGTCAAACTCGACGACAGCAGAGGCCGGGCTCGACCTGAGCATAACTTGCGGGAGCCTCTGTCAGCGCTACGTCAACTGTCGCTTCTTCTGCTTCATCAAGAGTATGTAACATATTTCGTTATGTAATTTATTTCAAAAGGTTTTTGAGCTCAAGAACTGTTTCATAAATAAATTATGGAGCTTGTATAGGTTGTCATCATAGTGGCATTCAAAATGCTACCTGTAAAGTTAGTACTAGCTAGGTAACCAGGTGTGGCTCGGGTTGGGCAGAAAATTTTCATTATCTGCCTAAAGGAGCAGATTTCAGGAAGGGTTATGGGTAGCAAGCTAACCTATGCGGTTAACCCGGAGTTACAGGTTACCCTCATTGACTGGATACAGGAGTTGGACAAAATAAGGGATACACCTGACATTTTGATATCGTAGTTTTTGAACATGTATGGCATCTCCAGAATTGGTCCCTCTAGCAGTGGAAAAATATAATTTTCTCTGACTAGTCATCGTTTACCTTATTTCCAACCTCTTGCCGAGTTTACGTTTGGAGAGCATTCAATCCCCATTGCCTCATCCCAACCGTAAAACATGGTGGGGGATCTGTGATGATTTGGGGTGTTATTTCTTGGAAATCTGGCAAACCAATAACTTCTCTTCATTGAAGAGTCAACAGCCATGACTATTTAGTCAAATCAACAGCCGTGAATTCTGGATTACCAAGTTCATCCAATGGTTCAAGCATTGTTTCCGGGGGTTGCGGCCTTTTTTCAAATTGTTAGGGCCCGGGGGACCTTTTTGTTAAGTTTGGGCTTCCATTTGGTCACGCTATTCCCCGGCCTTAATTTTTTTGGGGTTTTTTTGTTGGTTTTTGGGGTGGCATTTCGGAGGTGGTTTCCGGCGGCCTTTTTTTTAAAAGGGGTTGGGGGGGTTTTAATTGAAGAATGGATGAAGAAGAACAATTTACAACTTGTTTGAATCAATACCTTGGTGAATTGGGGCTGTACTTGCCGCAGAAGGCGAACCTATACCATACTATAATTTCTTTTGTGGTTTTCTCAGGAGTTTCCCTTATTTTGTCTAACCCCTGTAGATGGTATGTGAATAAGATTGAATATTGGGTCTCAATTTTCAATGTGTAATTCGGTAGATATCCCGATAAAATATCATGTTAAACGTTAATTTAAACTTTCGAGATAAATATGAAAGGCATTTAAGAGACACGCAAGACTTTCTTGAGAGTCTTTCACAACTTTTGTTCTCTTTGTTTTTAAATTCTATGCTAATTTTCGATACATGTAAATGAATTCTATAAATATTTAACGAGTAACGTTCAATATTGATGATATCAATGGATTAGTAACTAAAATTAATACGCAAGCAGGAACCTATTAGGTGTGAAATATTCCGTTTGCTCGATACGTTTCCTTTGTTGTGGATCATATATCGGCTCTAAGCGTCGCAGAAAAAATAACTTTATTCTTCTTGTTTGATATGGCATTTAATTATAGATTGCGTCTTGAATCGTGCATGGCAGCAGACGGCGAGTAGACTCTGTCTTGTCTGTAGCATTCATCATCATTTCTTACAGGACATATTTTAAGTGCATTTTATGCTCTAGAAATCCAGTGGACGAGATTTACAGGAGTAATAAGGAGAAGTATGATGGCTCAGAGCGACCGAGCTGAAGCAGCGCTATTCGTCCGTCTTTTGTTTGTCCAGGTTCACGCTGGCAACGAGTAGGATGCGTCGCATTCGTCCTGACACTTTTTAATGATCAGCGTTGGGAGTGACTGCAATCTCATGTCGCGTGAATTTTGGGAAATAATTCAGGTATTTTATTAATATGCAGTGCTGAAAATCGTTCATATGGTTACTAGATTACCGCAGCAGTGACCTTCATGATCTCTTTGAGAGGCGGGTAAGCTTTTGGATCTTGTGATACGGTACGTGACCTAACGATGACCTTAGTTTAAAATTCTATTCTGTTGATTTTCACAATTTCCAACATGTGAAAATACTTAGGATAAATACTGTCATACATCCTCCGATCGATTGTAATTTTGTGGCGGGGTTTTTTTTGCTTTTTTTTTTAACCTTTTTTTTTTTTTTATTGGTTTTTTTGGGGGGCGTTGGGCCCCGGTTTTCCTTTTTGGTTGGGGTTTCGGGGTCCTTCGAGTAAAGCTCCTTGGAATTCCACGGTAATGGAAAATTTGAAACGAATAAACTTCACCTGAAGAGGAACCTTAGTTCGTGTAATCTGGGAGTTCTCGCTTGCCACGAATTGACGTGCAGAGGAATTTTTCAACTGCGGTATTGGGTTTCGTAACGCAAATGGTTATTCCTGCTTTTCGTATAATTATTTCGCAATGAATCATCCGTGAGTTTATGTATTTTGATTTAGGTGTGTCCGGTAAGAAGGGCTTCTTGTTGTACACCTGTTAGCATGTCATGTCTATATGGACTAGTGGTACTCTAGGCTAGCTAGAGTTGAGGCTTTTTAAAGATCCCAATAAAGCTATGTAGCTCTAGTTATTGAGAAATTTCTCCTTATCACTATCGCGCCCACAATGTTGACAGTCTATTTATGTTGGAAGCTCTCCCGCAACAGAGCGATTGAGGGCAACATAATTTGAGCAGCGCGTTGGGGGATAGAAACCCACAGTTAATTGTGAAACTTGTGGTCAAAATCGGCAAAGTGATTAGGTGGTTAAGAACCGGCGACTAGCCAACACGGCCTATCAAAGCCGTGCAGATCTATTTTCTGTTTATAATAAAAATTTCTTATTATGTTTACGATTGCACGTAGTGTATATTGTTATTCTTAGTTTGTCGTTTACAGTGCATGTGCTAAGATTTGTTTGGTATTTCTAATTTATTTCTTTACATGTGTTTTGTTAACAGGTACGGGTTTGTGCGGCATGTTCACAGCCTACGTCGCGGTGCGATGGCCGGGCCATCCTGCGTTTGCGTCCACCACAACGTACGACGCTTGCTACACGTCGTGGGGGGACCCCCGGGACATCGTGAAGACGAACTCCCCCTTCACTTACTCTTCGAATGAGATGGGATCATACCCGAAGTATGGCACCGATGGATACGCTTGTTTAACCACTCCTGCTTACTTCTCCACCCTTATGACTACCAACACCTTCTCGCAGATAGACCTGGAACAGACCACTCGAGTGCAGGCAGTGATCTTAGTCACCGCATGGATAGGTCTTATTCAAGACATGGACGTGATCCTCAGCAACACGAGTGACTACAACCTCGGCCAGAAAATAGGACGTGTTAATGGAATCGCGCCGGCGTGGTCGCCGTACACCATCGTCACCAACACCAGCACGGCGGGACGGTACCTCACGTTCTTCACGGCAATGTACGGTTTTCTTGGCTTTGCTGAAGTACAAGTCATTCCTCAGCCGTGAGCCACTCGTTGCATATTCAGTCAACATCGTTAGCTGGATATGATGTCTCTCAGCTTAGACATAGCTCAGATTTACTCATATGAAACCTGGAAATGAAATTCATTTTTTAGTCAGAAATAGTTTAAGCGAGGAAAGTTTGACTCGCAGTCTTCAATTCGACAGTTAAAACTCAATGTTGATCGTAAATGTTGGCTCAATACATAACAAAGCTCATGGAGCTAAGCTTGTAGGTTGACCTGTTTTCGTTCATCAACTCAAAAGAGGATCTCTTCAGTTCTCCCCCAATTAGGACGTCAAAATTGGGTCAAGAAAACTGCAATCCGTTTTTAATAATTGCCATGATGAGTATTATTCTTTGACGTAAAGAAATTTTACATTGACACATTTTGATGCCTGAATTTCAGGCTATTCTAGAACAAGAGAACATTAATGTGACACTTTGAGCTTTGTTTAGGTCAGTACACAGCNCAGTCACAGTGTGGAGTGTGCAATGTGATATCAGTCACAGTGTGGAGTGTGCAATGTGATATCAGTCACAGTGTGGAGTGTGCAATGTGATATCAGTCACAGTGTGGAGTGTGCAATGTGATATCAGTCACAGTGTGGAGTGTGCAATGTGATATCAGTCACAGTGTGGAGTGTGCAATGTGATATCAGTCACAGTGTGGAGTGTGCAATGTGATATCAGTCACAGTGTGGAGTGTGCAATATGATATCAGTCTTAGTGACCAAAACTATCGCAGTTGCAGTGAGCAATACGATCTCACTTAATATTTTCATCCAGTCTTATGAGCAATTTTTATTCAGTATGTCCAGTTCTTAGGGATGTCGTTATTTATTCGCTGTTACCATGAGTGATTTAAAACAAGTTACTAAAGGCGAATCGCACGGATGAAATTTGCGACAAATTTCATGGAAAGTGAATTCAATAGAAGATAGAACTTTAGAATCTATTTGTCTCCGTATTTAAATCTTTCAGTATTTCTGGCTTTATTCATGCACTCAATGCAAACAACTCTAGACACGACATTTTGCACACTTCTCCTGTATTTTAATACCAAACTTTGATGCATCTTATACCTCATGTCTCGCGAGTGGTGCGTGTAGGTGAGTGGTGCATGTAGGTGAATGGCATGTATAGGGGTATTTTGAGAACGTGTTTTTTTCAATAAGAGAATTTAGAACACTTCTTTTCAGCACAAGTCAACGCTTGCAACCGCATTTCAATCCGTATCAAAAGTGTGTATTAATGTTCGAGTTCGTCAATAAATCTTAAAAAATATACATTAAAAAATCTTCTCCATATCCCTTACACTTTATTAATTTTCAGAATTCCAAAGAATAATGGGGTTCTAAGAACTCTCAGATTTTTCTACAGTCCGTTGCCGTAGAGTTTGAAAGACAAATTTGATCAATTATGTTGTTTGTACGTCGCAAACTTCTCCACAATGCAGCGATGAAGGGAGTTTCAGACCAACTATGTACACAATCGCCACTGCACACAATCGTCACTGCACACAATAGCCACTGCACACAATGGCCACTGCACACAATCGCCACTGCACACAATTGCCACTGCACACAATTGCCACTGCACACAATCACCACTGCACACAATCGCCACTGCACACAATCGCCACTGCACACAATTGCCACTGCACACAATCGCCACTGTACACAATCGCCACTGCACACAATAGCCACTGCACACAATCGCCACTGCACACAATAGCCACTGCACACAATCGCCATAGCACACAATCGCCACTGCACACAATCGTCACGTGTTATCAACTTGTACCTGCAGCCGGGCATGTCCTCGGTGGTGAGGGAAGCTGTGTATCCGCTGTACTTGTTCTAGTCATCATTGCCAACAAAGTCTCAGTTTTTGAAGTGGAAGAAACAAGAACCAACACCAGGGGCCACGGCTATAAACTAAAAAACTGCGTTGTAACACATCAATGAGACAAAATTTTGTCAGGTCGTGATGTAATTAGTGACTATTACGTCACCTTCTGTGACGTCACTATTCGCGGGTCACTGCGTATATAAGCTCGGTGAGCCGACTGTCAGTCAGTCTTATAGGCAGTCATCGTAGAGCCTACAAACTCTAGCCGAGCTCACGTCGTCGTAGACTCCGGCACTCATACCAACACGCAGTGTCGTAATACTGCAAATTGCTGCAGTTTTACCAAAATTACTGCACATACTGTGCTTTGATTCCGTAACTTCTAGCTAGTGTATCCCGTGAACCTATCTTTAATACTTACGCTTAGATACACGTCATGTTATTATCCTTCCCTGGCCAATGAATATTTAAGATGTTATTCGGACAATTATAAACGAACCAAAACCCCTCAGGTTCTTCTTCAATCGATCACCAGATCCTCTAGATCTGACAGAGACAGACCCAGAGTTCTGACTGAGTTATCCCTACTTTTACAGTGCGGACTGAACGGGCGCGCATCCACGAAAAGTTCGCTCCAAATCATACTTATAATCGGGAAATTTATTTTCAACTTTAAATTTCAGTTCGATGTTTAATTCGGCACGCGATAATCGCGAAATATATCGTGTTATATAAAATATATTTTGTAGTGTATAAAATCGCAATATTTTGTGTTTTATAAAATATATTTTGTAGTATATAAAATCAGCATCTGATATATTCTAAACATATAGTCAGTATTCCTACTTCGGGTTCAATCAAAACAGGAAGGCGTTGCCTGGATAAAGGCAAGCCAAACTTCTCGCACCAAATAACTATCGGTGTGTGATCAAAGGCTGCTTGTACGCGAGGACCGTATAGGGGCGGTCAGAACAAAACATTTACAACCGCCAATTACTGTACTACTGGCCTAGCGTATAGGCGGTGCTGAGGAAAAACAAACTATAAGCCTCTACACAAGGACATTGGAGTGATAATTAGTCGCAGTAAGCATTTGACAGTTGTACTGGCCGTTACTACTGTCCCAGTGTACAAACACCTGCGCTGTATTATGCAGGACTCGCATCAGGTAACATGATTTAAACATGATTTAAACTGCCACAAGTAAAAAATCTTGTCATTGTTTATCACAGAAATCTGCTGTTACCGATAAACGCATAGATAGGATGGAGCCTCCAGCACATAAGAAAATATAACATTTTTTAACCAGCAGAGATGCTGAATAAAAAATGTTATATTTTCTTATGTGCTGGAGACTCCATCCTATCTATGCGTTTATCAGTAATAGAGGCATGTCGACATTTGGCTTCCATCATTATCATCCAGGAATATGGTCTGAAACAGACTTCATGCTATGAAAATCGATGAATGCGCCAGTCGTTGTAGATTCAAACTATTTCTCTTGCCTTAACCTGAAGAAATGTCCTGCCGTTGAACTTTAATGCAATTATAACTTTTTAACCAATAGTTCCTCGTCGATGTCGTGTACTCGCTATGCTACATATTCGCTAAGCCACTATAGGCGGCGATTATTATATATTATTTATTTCATTATTTTTGATTATTTGCCAGGTTATATAATTACTGTCGCTTGTATACAGAACGGATCGTAGTATCGATCTGAAGCCTATAATCTATTTAATACCAATAGTGAATCCGCGATTTCTGAAGGCCTCTAATGATGCACATCCCTACCTACGATGCAACTTCCCGGAAGCCATGAAAATAAGGTAAAAATGGGGTGTGATTGAACCACAACGCAAACCATGAATCACAAATCTGGGCATGTCGATACTTAATCAAGAGTGAACCAAGTACAGTAAAGTCTTGAAGAAACTTTCGATCGACCGCTGATTGAATTCGCTTTATATGGGGCGATTAGCAATGATCCATGAGATGGAGGGAACTTCATTTAAAAATAATCACATTCAATGTGATTGAATTCAATCAAATTGAATGTGACTGAGCAATTGCAGCAGCTTCTGCTAAAATGGGAAGAGTCATGATCTTTCTGAAATTGCAGACTGCCCCTCATCAAATTCGTTATCTCGACATCAATAAAACAAATTGGAACCAATTATGCTGGACAATGAAATAATTGTCCTAGAACTTTTTCAGTTGGACAATGCTGGAACGCGTCATTTATTGTCGCTTTGTTTATCTGAAATCAGTTTAAAAATGAAATAAAAGAACATAAATGTACTAGAATTGATGGAAGTGTGGTTCTTTGAAAGATTGGATAGTCATTCAGAACGTTATTCTATTATTATAAATTTTTGGTGCTGCGGGAGCAAGCTTTTAAATTAACATCAAAAGTTACAGCAACTATAGGTTGATGTTAAAGTCTGGCAGAGTCTAAACTTCAAATCAAAAACACGTGTGTTTGTAGCTTTTGTAGCTTGCGTGTTACAATATAGGTTGGCTCTCCAATTTAAACATACTTTAGTGAAAATCAAAGTCTAGGGCCACATTTTTAACTTATAATCTGTTTCACAACTACTTTTGTACTCCCGAGTTGAAACTAATCAAAACACCTAAACTCGAGAAAGTTAATATCAACGCGACGGTATAACCGCGGTCATTACACCTAGACTTTTATGAGCCGACCAAGTTCACACTAATTGAAGCACAAAACAAAGCTGGCCTCCCAGAAGGCTCCATGCTGTACAACGACGAGGTTGTAGACAACGTGAGAGCTTCGTGTCAAGCAAGCGCTGCTGCACGTGCGCCACAGTAAATAAAAATATTACTGTTGCCCAGAAACGCTTCATTAATTAATTGTCATGTCGCTTTTCCTCACTACAAACTGACTGAAAGTGAAATAATTATTAATACTTACGAATTTTTTTCGATAAACTAACGAGTATTTGATCCGTCAACATAAACTCTCATAGCTCACGGCTGAAAAATTCGATCCTAGGATATACGTTGCCATCTGTTATCGTGAATAAAAACGTCTATTAATAGCAATGCAGCTATCAAAATATTTCATGAACAAGTTTCTACTTTTAATAATCGTGCTGGACTGCGCCACAAGTGCTAAAACGTCGGGACACTTCTACAAGGTGAGTGATGACCTATGCTAAAGCGTGTTTAAATTTACCTTCAAGTAAAGTTTAATGTACAATCTAATGTATAAATTCTGTAAGTGTACTCTACTGTAAGTCAAGAAAAGGAATGTGTTTTAAGTATGTGAGACAAATTTCGTATTTTCATTGATTTGGAAATGCACCATGATGGCTTATGCACATATATAGGCAGGACCTCGCTTAGGAGTCTCTGCGCTCATTACAATTTTGAATTAATAACCTAATTTTCGTTCATAAGAATATTAAGGTGGTATGAGGGCTGGGGAAGACTATAAATAAGAATAATATCTTCCGATTGAATTTTTATCACCTGAGTGAGTGAAGAATGGATGACCTCGGAGGTTAGGCCTTTTTAATTAAATTCCATCTAGAGGCGTTCTAACTCCATCAACAGCCATGCATCGTCACGGCCCTGTGAGCGCCA